AGATGCAAAGTGCAGTGAACTTTCCTTCCCCCTCACAATGCCTTTCTTTCCCTATGCCCAGCTTTCCTATCACATTTAGCAATGCCTTGAGATCACTTGCTGCCAATATCAAAAGCTTCAGGGTCAAGTTTAAATCATTTGTGCCCGTCACAATAAATAATCCAGTCTTTTGAATGAATGAATGAATGAATGAATGAATGAATAAAAACAATATTTATCAAGGGCTTACTATCTGTCAGGCACTGGGCTCGGGGCTGGGGGTGCAAATATAAGCAAGCAAGATAATCTCTTCACAGAGCACACATTCTACAAAGAAAAGGTAACATATGAAAGGGAAATGATAGGGGTGGGGGGAGTTCCTGGCACCATGGCATAGTCTGGAAGTGGTTGAAAAGTGGCACAGAGGCCTGACTTTAAATAAGCCAGAGGTTCCCCTATTAGAACCCAGGGTTCCAGGGTTCCAGTCCAAATGCCAGAATAATCAAACCTGCCTCTGCCTCTGCCCCTCTGCCTCTGTCATTCTGTCTCTCTCTGTGTGTCTCTCTATCTCTCTCTCTTTTCCCAATTTTTCTTCTTCCTCTTTCATTTGACTTTTAAAATCTTTCCTAAGCTCTTCCAAGGTGACTTTTCGGGCTGGAGACCAGTTCATATTCCCCTCTGAGGTTTCAGATGTGGGTATGTCGATAATGTGGTCCTCTTCTGAGTTTGTGCCTTGATCTTCCCTGTCCCCATAATAAGGATCTATGGTCATTGTCCATTTCTGCTTTTTGCTCATGGTGTTTGCACATTTCCTGACTTTTAAATAAAGTTGAGCTCTCCTGCTAGAGTGCAGGGAGCACTGACTCAAGCTTCTTGTGCTGGCAGAGCCGGACCTGGTCACTGGCTTTGTGTGCAGGGGACTAAGATGCTGGCAGTTGGAGGCTGTAGGGTTCTGGTAGCTTGCCAGGTGCTGGGCTGGAGTCATCAACACTGGAGCTCTTGGGATGGGGGTGGGGATTCTGGCCCCGAAGAAAACCTGCTCACGTGGGCCTTGCACTCCTTTCTTTGGCTCCTGCTTCCCCAGGCCTTGCACAGGGATGTTTTGCTGCTACAGGATGTCTGTTAGCCTGGAGCTTTGCCTCCTGGGGTGGTGTTTTCTGAAAGTGTGCTGAGGCACCAGATTTGGCTGCTGGAGAAGACTAGTGAATGCGGTGGTTTTCTGAGCTGGTGTCTACTAGTTCCCCTGCCTGTACTGAGGTATTCAAGGGGCCCTGGTGTTGGCACTTGCCTGCTCCACTACCCTGGGGCTCAGGATCTCCCCCTGGTATGCTGAGGTGGGGCTTGCTGTTGGCTTGCTGGGACACCTCCCATCCTGTACTGCTCCCCCGCTCCCAAACCAAGAGGGACCTTCCTTGTTAATCCTCCAAGCTTCCTGGGCTATATGACTGCTGCACCCTGTCTTTCTGCTGGCTCAGCTGTTCCAGGGTTTTTCCTGGGGGGATATTTTCCGGGTTTTCAGACGTCAATAAGGGAGGGTGAGAGTGACTTAGTTCTTACTCTACCGTCTTGGCTCCCGAAGCCTTTATCTCTCTCTGTGTGTGTCTCTGTCTCTGCCTCTCTCTCTGTATCTCTCTGTCTCTCTCTGTCTCTTTCTCTTCCTTTCTCCCTCCTCTCTCGTGTGTGTGTGTGTGTGTGTGTGTGTGTGTGTGTGTGTTGTGTGTGTATAAGCAGATAGGGGAGGGACTTCAAGGACCTAGCCCAAACCACAGCTGGAAGATAATTCCCATTACGACACAACCAGTGAAGAGTTATCCAAGAACCCACATGGGCTTTGTACATATTTAAAATTCTTATTAAAACATGTCATGCAATGATAAAATTATCATTGCATGACATGTTTTAATCATGGGCAACTCTCAGATTTAGAAAAACTTTGCTAGATGATAACCTATTCTTCATTAGAAGCAATGCTTGAAGTAAGAGGAACAGGTTAGCAGGATGGTTTTAGGCCATCTGGGAGAAGTGGGACAGCATTCTGCCTTACTCCAAGCACTGATCAAAGCACTGCAAGACAATCTCTTGTGACTAATTCTGTCCCCCTGAGGTTGACAGTCCCTTTAGAAAAATCTATGCCAGACGGGAAAAACTTTGGAAAGAGAATAGGGAGGAGGGCAGAGAGGGGTAAGAAACTAAAATCCAAGTTCTGTTTCCTTGGCTGAGGGCAAGATTTTATTAATAATAACTTCTCATAACTTAATGCTTTAAGGTTGACAAAGTACTCACAATCTCCCTGAGAGGTAGATCATACAAGTTATCCTTATTTTACAAATGAGCAAACTGAGGTCCATAGAGCTGGAACTCAAACTCCAGTTCTTTTAGTTCCAAGCCCAGTCCTCCTACTATAGCAACCTGATTCCTACATACCTTCAAAATCTCTAAGATTTGGTCTCCATGAATAGAAAAAAATACCTAGCCCCTCCCCATTATGGATTATACATCTTCCACATGGCTTGCTCTCTTACAGTCCACCAATCAATGGAGCAAGGAGGCATTGAAGCAAGAAGGACAATGGAGCCAGGAGATATTAATGCACCCTTGATACTGGGGTTATATAACTGGCCTTAAGAGTCAGGAAGAAGATATAACCTCTATCAGATTGTTTGCTGTCTTGGGGAGGGGGAAGAGAAGGGAGGGAGGAAGAAAAATTTGGCATGCAAAATCTTATAAAAAAGAACATTGAAAACTATATTTACATGTAATTGAAAAAAAATAAAATATTATATACAAAAAAAAGAATATCAGGCAGATCCAGGTTCCTACTATACATCCTGGCTATGTGACTGACATAGCCCTCAGGCAACTTGCTAGAGTTGTAAGTTACAAAGATGGTAAATGGAGTACTAGTCGGGACCCCAAAAAATTAATCTTGGCAATTTGAGCTATGTTGGCAAATAAAATCTGTGCCTTATCAGATCATCCTCCTTGTCTTAATTATACCTAGCTTAGACACCAATCAGGAGGACAGATGAAAACACTGAAACCTATCTTGGGAGCTACCCATAGACAGGATGATAGATTTTTTTTTTGAGTCCTTTCTGATGTAACTCTCTTGCTTCCCCAAACAGGAAGAGAGATGAACATGATTGAAACAAGACCGACAACTGCTCTCTGCCCTAGCATGTCCATTGTCCCCATACAAGCAATTACACTGTTTGGACGTGTTTTGATTCAACACCTTTACATGGTACCTCTTCGCGTTATTACCCACATTGCCTTAAGCACTGACAAGTCCAGCCCTTCTGTACTGAAGGATTGCATCAGCTGCAGGCTCTTGGCTTTCTGCACCAAATGTGAGAAAAGTGAGGGCCTAAGAATTGAAACTACAGGTCATTCCTAAAACTTCTTTGAAAAAGAAGCCCAACTACTTCATCCAAAAACTTCTTACCAGAGTTGAAAATGGTAAAAGAAAAAAAAGGCTGTATAAGGAAGAAAGTCCATCCTACTGAGCTGGGCATTCAAGGCCCTGCATGATTCGGCCTTCAATACCTTTTCAGCTTTATTTACTGATATGTGTGCATGTTGTATCCCCACCCCACCCCCCGCAGTAGAATACCAGCTCCTTAAAGGCAGGGGTATGTGTGTGTATATATATCTTTGTATCCCCAACCCCACCATCATGCCTTGCACTTAGTGGAGTGAAGTGACTGTAGGGTGGCACAAAGACATCGCCTCCAGTGTCATTGAAGTGCAGTGGGAAGACATAAGTCAAGATGACTGACAGTAGATGACCTTGGCCTTTCTAAATTAAGGATTTTTTCCAGGCCTCAGTTTGTCAGAGGCAACACCCATTCAATGATTAAGGGCTAGGTAATAATTGAGACAAAACTAGGGCTAGCTAGTCATCTTGACAAACTAAATCTAGGTCAGCCAGAAACCTAGAACTTGGTAGAGCATCTGGCCTCATTTACCCTAACAGATTCTCCAGCTATAGAATGAGGAAGTTGGGTTAGATCAGGGGTTGTCAGCCTTTTGTCTATGTCATGGACTCATTTGTACCAGACTGTAGCCTATGAACTCCTTTTCAGAATGTTTTTAAATGCAAAAAATGCATAGGATTATAATGAAAAACAATTATATTGTTTATTATAAACATATATTATGCTAATATATATGTTATATTATATATATTATATTATAAATATAATAAAACTGTTTATTATATTATAAACAGTTCTCAAAATAATATGAAAACAAGTTAATGGACCTCAAGTTGAGAACCCCATGATTCAGATACGGGGCTGATATACTAGGATTCTGCTATAGAAGTGGTTCTCAAAGGTGTTTGCAGTAACACACTAGCATGCAGTGAATTTCTCTAGGTATGCTATAAAATTCTGGATGTTACATTATTGCAGGCAAAAGAAAATCTATAAATAATTTGGCTTAATGTAATTTTTACTTACCCAGTATACTTATATATAAGTATATTTATACGCAAAATATAATATTCTCAAAATAACCAAAACTTGCATATTACAAACACTAAAACCCATCAGACCTCGAGCTTATAAAAAAATAAAAGAAAAAAAATTGCCTGCTCTCACTGAAGGAAAATAGCACATGTATGTATCTCCCAACTCTCTCCTGATGCTACTTAAGCACTCAATGTGCTGTGGATCTTTGTAGCAAAGAGAAGTGTTCCATGAGCAAAAAAAACAAAAAACAGAAAACTTGAGAACCAGTATGTTTAAGAAACCAGAAAACAATAAGCAGAGGCTATAACCTGCAGCTATCTGAAGAAGCTATTGCTCTGGTTCCCATCCATTTGATTACACCCCATTTTCTACCAGTGCTGAAGACAGCTTTAAACACCCAACAATTCTTTTGCTTTGTGGACTACACCTGCCCCTCCTCCCTCTTGTCCTGCCCGTCAAACCACAAGGAGCAATCTTCCTCATCACTTAGTTTTCATCAGCACTGCTGGACAAGACCAACGTCTGAGCTTAGGATCAAACACTAACCTCATCCACGTTCTCAAATGCATTGATGACATCATATGGCAAACAGGATAGCAAGTCAATCACAAACCAGGTCTTCAGGTAATTCATTCGGATGAGTTTGGGGTCAGAGATCACCTCCCCAGCTGGTCCAACAAAGGTAGTATGAAAATTAAGCACAATGTCCACCAGGAAGATGACATCCACAATACTGTCCACAACCAGCCAGGCCACGTTGTTCTGCCTTGTTTTAAAAGAGACATTGTAAGGGACCAAAATGGCAGTGTAGAAAGTTAAGATCAAGATGATCCAATCCCAGGTGGTCTTGAAAACACAATAATGTAAGATGATGTGAGGGGGAGTCTTAGGTGCCTCCTGCTTGTACTGGGGAAGAATGTCTGAACCCAGCTGCAAGACCTGTGTGGAGAGACACAAACAAGAAAGAATACTAAGTTAAAGACTTCTGTTGCAAACATTCGGGTGATTTGCTTCTTCCTGAGACATTCATTTATTCCAGATTGGAAGTACCACTATAGTATAGGAATGTATGAAGGAATATGGACACAGTTGACTCCCATGAGCTACAATATTCCCCTTGCACAATATGCAAGTGCTTCATAAAGCTGGTTAGGAGTAAAAGAGAGGGAACTTGGTGGCAAAGAGAATGAAAACAATGAAGACAAGAGAGAAGAAGCAGTACCAGGGATGTAATTCAGTTCAACAAAGAATTAAGTTCCTATGTGCAATAGGGTCTATTACTGTCTGGCCAATTTCAGATCATAAAGGTACAAGCATATGATATATCACATTCCTGTACTATGGTTTAATATAACATATATAAAATCTCTTTGGCATTCTAGCTACCACAATGTCACTAACCAGCATTTCCATACAACATCTGAAATCTAGAATGAAGACTTGGAGGCTACAACATATTGAATCATCAAAGACTAAATTATGCTCATACAGTTTAGTACCAAGTGTATTTTGTATTATAATTCTTTGAAAATTTGTATATGTATTATTAAATAGGGACCATTAAACTTACTAGAACATTTGACTAAGCAGAATACTTCATGTCTAACTGCATTAACTGACATCTTAATAACTCTCATTTTGCTACCACTTTAAGATTCACAAAATGCTTTTGCTGCAACAATCCTGTTAAGTGAAGTATTATTGTCCCCAGTTTGCAAATGAGAAAACTGAGACTCAGAAAGATTAGGGAGAGACTGCATACAAATAACTATGTATATACAAGATGTATACAGAGTAAATGGAAGGTAATCTTACAGGGCAGGAATTTGAGGGAGGAGAGCAAAGAGAGTTAGAAATAAAGGATACCTTCCTGCAAAAATTATGATTTGACCTCGTTCTTGAAGAAATCCAGGGAAGCAGAAGCAGAGGGGTGAAGGTAGAGTATTACAGCCATGAAAGCAGTCGGTAAAAAGGCATGAAACTGGGAGATAATTTATCTTGTGCGAAGAGCAAATAAGTTATCTTATCTGGCTTATGGTGTATATGGATTGGAGTAACATATAGGAATACTGGAAAGTTAATAAAGTATCCGGTACACTAATTGGGACACTATTTCACTGTTGATCAAACTGTGAACTGATCCAACCATTTTGGAGAACAATCTGGAATTATGCCCAAAGAATTATTAAACTGCGTCTATACCCTTTGACCCAGCAATATTAGGTCTGTTTCCAAAGATGATTAGGGAAAAAGGAAAAGGCCCTATATATCCTAAAATATTTATAGCAGGAATGCCCCCCAATTGGGGAATGGCTAAACAAACTGTGGTTTATGATTGTGATGGAATAGTACTGTGCCATAAGAAATGATGATCTTAGAAAAACATGGTTAGACTTGCATGAAAGAATGAAGAGTGAAATGAGCAGAAGCAAAAGAACATTGTTTCCAGTAACAACAATATTATTTTAAGAACAACTTTGAGTGACTAAGTCATTTTGACTATTATAATAGTCAAATTAACTACAAAGAACTTATGAAGGAAAACACTATCTGCATCCAGAGAAAGAACTGGTAAACAGATTATAGAATGGTTTTACATGTGTGTGTGTGTGTGTGTGTGTGTGTGTGTGCATATATATATATGTGTGTGTGTGCGTGTGTATGTATATATGTAGTGTGTATATATATATATATATATGCACATACATATTTGTGTCTAATGGTAGCCATCTCTAAGGTGGAGATGTAAGGGAAAAAAGAAAGTTACATGATAACTATTTTTATTATAAGTTTTTATTATATATTTAAAAGTAACAGCAAATTGTACATCATGGATTTGCAGTTTCGTGTACTATCATCTTTTTCTACTTTACTATGTTATAGAAATGTTTGTTTTATTTCTTAAGTTCAGAATAAAATAATTTTTTTTAAAGAGTTAGGTCCTAAAGCACTTTAAATGCCAGACAGAGCATTTTATAATGATCCTGGGGGTAATAGGAAGCCACTAGAGTTTATCATTTGGATTCTGGAGAGATGAGATGATCAGTCCTGTGCTTTAGGAAAATCAGTTTGGCAGAATGGCAGGAGGGTGGGAGAGGCTCGAGACTGGGAGACCAATTAGAAAGTTATCACAATAATCCAGTGGAGACATAACAAGGCACTGTACAACAATGGTAGCTTTGTGAGTAGAAAAGACATATATGCAAGATATGTTGTGAAGTTTATTACTAAAAAGGAAGAGAAAAATAGTATTATGCTTTTATAGTAGAGTCTAAGAAAGGAGTTGGCAGGGGCTTGGTGGGGGAGAGAGTGTGGCATTTCGCTTCTTTTTTTAATAGGAAAGATCAGCCCATGTTTGTAGACAGCAAGAGCCAGCTTAGAGAGAGAAATTAAATATTTGAGAGTTGACAGAGCAAGGACCTGAAGGAGAAAAGAGAAGACAGGTTAAAGAACACAAGTAAAGGGCTCCACTCTGTAAAGGATGAACCCTACCTTGTATACTTAGACTGGAACACAGGAGATTAGAAGTGTGCAGGACAGGACGTAAGAGAGTTCACCATGCTTGCCTACAACTTTCAGTGAAGTAACAAGCCAAGTCATCTACTTACGGAGGTGAAAGGGGCTTAGAAATTGGTAATTAAGAGAACATTGGTAACTGAATTTCAGCTGAATAAGGTTGGAAGCTAGGTTACGGAGGGTTTAGAAGTCAGTGAGAGGAGATGAAGTAGAGGTACTAATTCTCAAGGAGTTTAGCTGAGAAGAGGAGAAGGAATATAGGATACTAATTAGTGAGGATGGATGGATCAAGTGAAAAGTTTGAGGGGTTTTGTGTTGGGTTTTTTTTTTAATATGAAGAGAAGGCTTGAGGAGAATAGAGAAAATTAGATATGGAAAGTAATAAAAGGATCCAAACACATATAAAAAAGGATTATCCAGTAACAGTGAAGGCAAAGGCAAAATTAGTACAGATTTGTAGAAGCCCCATTCAGCATGATTTCCCAACTTCTTCCAGCAGCGCTCAATAGCTCAAGAAATTTCTTGGTGAGAATTAAATGATTTAGTGTGTGTTAGTCTTAGCCCTCCAAGCAAAACTATCAGGAAACAGTCTTTTGTCTATTGCAAAATAAATCTAGAATACTCCAGTAAAAGAAGAGACCTCCTTTCATAAGCTCTATGAACTCCATGCCCTGTGAGCTGTATTTACATGTTAGCACCCACCCCATCTGCCTAGACTGCAAGCCCTGATAAACTTTTGGCTCTCGCTCTCTGAGTTTCTTCTTCTACTAGGGAGGAACCCAGGAAAGCTAAGCTAAGCCAGAAGAACCTTAAGCCTGTGACTTACCAAAACTTTTACTAGTCAGAGGTGAAAAGGGTACACAGTCAAACTTGAAATCCATGCCAAGCAAGAAACTACTCCTCAGGGGCTGTTCCTGCCTTTGCAGGTCAAACCGCTTTGCTTCTGACAATTATTTCTAAGTTTCTAAGTGAAACTTCTTTCTCCCTCATGTCACAAAGTCTCTCTTTCCCAGTCCCTGGATTGGAGACCCCAAGCCAAATGGATATCAAATTAAGTTGGACTGCTCCACTGCTCCATATCCCTACCACTCATGATCCAACAATAGAGAGAGTACAAACAGCTTCTTTAAGCCTAATAACTCTCCAAAAGGTCAAAGAGAGGGCCAAGTCATTAGACCCATCATCATGGGGATGTGTGCCACAGCAATTCCTTTTCCCCTCCTAAAGAAGATAATAATAGGTAAGTTTTACACTCAGGCACAAAGGCTTGCATCCACTATGTCCCATGACACATTCTCATATATAATCTGTATTTCATTTTCTCTGCACATGTTGCTCCCATCCCCATCCAACAGAATGTAAGTTTCACTGGGATCATTTTGTCTTTGTATCTTCTGGGCCCAACACAGTTTTTGGCAAGATTAATAAATAATTGTTTCATTGAATTGAACCTATCCACAGCTTCTTCTCCATTGGAAAGTCAGACTCAGAACTAGCTATAGGGCTCCTAAAGGGTCATCTAGCTTCTCTCCCCTCATTTTTACTAGTGAAGAAACTGAGTCCCAGAGAAAAGTGCCTTACCTAAAGTCACATAGTTCATGACATAGCCAAGAGAAGAACCAATGACTTCTGGCTTCCAGTCTAGTGCTTTTCCATTATACCATGCCACCTATTTAGTTAATAAATGAGAGGCCACATGGCAAACAGAAAGGGAAAGCTAGCTACCCTTAATATTGTTCTAAGGATTAAATAAAATGTGAAAAGTGCTTGATAACTATAATATGCTGTAAGAGTACTATTGAAATGTGATTGCAAACAGATGATGAAGAAAAACTGTTGCTTGATGGGAAGTGAGTTTGGAATAAAAAAATATATATATACCTATTAAAAGTCTCAATGTAAAAAACTGAAAGTACCAACAGTAATTTTTTGAAGGTCTGGCTAGGGTGATGAACCAGATATCTTTGGCACAGTCTGCCTTACTTTAATGTGTATCTGGCTTTAGTGATTTTATTTTGAAGCCCTCCCCCTCCAAAAAATTACTAAACTTCATTTATGTAACAGCTCTTGGGCCCTGAGCTATCAAAAAGAAAGGTGTGCTCTGACTTTAAGAGATAAGCAAAGAGAAGCTGTGAACCAGGTCTACTCATTCTGGAAAGCAATTTGGAATTATGCTTTTTTAAAAGTGGTTAAAATGTCTATAACCTTTGACCCAGAGATGCCACCACTAGGCATATATTCCAAGAAAGTCAAAGACAGAAAAATCCATATTGCACTGAAATATTTATGGTAGAATTTTTTGTACTAGTAACGAACTGGAACTAAAGAAGATGCCCACCTATTGGACATGAGAAAACAAGCTGAGGTACCTGGATTTAATAGGATGTCACCATACTCTAAGAAACTACGAATCTGAAGAATCG